CAACTTCAGCCCTGGCTGAGGATCAGACACCCCCCCCTTAAAAGCACCCCTTGCTCTAAGGTCTCCGGTGTTACCTGGGAACGTGCTGTAGGAACTTCCAAAGTGCCTCATTCCCACCGCCAGCGTGTGCCTGTTGCAGCAGCGTTGCTCTTCGTGCTACAAAACCAGGCTGGGCTGTTTTCCTTCCATCCCCGGGGCTCATTTCAGTCCCCATTTCACATCCCTGCACTGCTGGGGTGCTCAGACATACTTCCAGCCACCCCCATGTTTAACACCATCCTCCTTCTTTTTTTTGTTTTAGGCGTGGAGTCAGCAATCTGGCCAGCTTTCCAGGACGAGGATAAGATTTTCCTTACTTTTGTACTTAGAGCCCTGATGCTGCCTCTTTTGTGCTGGTTCTTTTGGCCATGGTTGAACCACCCCCAACCCGCAGCGAACGACCCCCCTGCCTCCTCCTGCCAGATGTGCCACAGCTGCAGCAGATCCAGCCAGGCCCAGTGAGCAACTGATGCCCACCTACCCACCGAGTGCAAGAAGGGTGTCACTTGTGGCCCAAGTGACAGCCAGCTCAGTCTTTGTCCCTGGGGATTTTATTCCCTTCGCTCCACAGCCCTCACTGCAGGCAGCGCTTGAGCAGAGAGGGCTCTCCTGGCACGCTTGGTGAGCACCCTGGCCACCAGACATGATATGAGCATGGTCCCCAGGTCCTGCTCTCCCCATGGGTCCTCCTGCCCTTGGGAGGTTGACTCCTGCACGCCTCATTTCAGACAAGAAGCAGCCGTTTTCCCGGTACCCGGCTCCCACCAGCCACCTTGGAGCAGGCTACAGGTTGGAGTGGCAGAACGGTGCTTCTGGAACGACTGACTCTCCGATGCCTTCGAGGAGGTTGTCCCATTGATCGAACTCCTCTTCCAGGTCTGCATGGGGCAGAGATGGTGACGGGGTTACTACAGCAATCATCAGCCCGGCTCCAGGCATAAAGGAGGAGCAGCCCCCAGACCCCTTTGCTTTGTGCAACAGGATGGGAAGCACCAAACTCAAGCCCAGGGAGGCAGCAGCTGCCCCGCAGCCCCCCACGAGCGGGGGATCTCTCACACCCTCCCAAGCCCTTGGCCAACGTGCCCTCCGCCCTGCGCCGTACTGAGATGCCTTTGCAGGAAGGCCAGAGCCGCCCGGCTGGTGATGTCCAGACCCTTGCAGGGGTCGAGGGTCCCCCTCGCACCGAAGATGCGGCTGATGAGCTTCCCAGTGAGAAAGGTGAAGTCAGTCTGGCTCTGGTGCACGGATCCCCTGGGACAGGGAAGGGGAGCTTCAGTGGGAGCTGGGGAGAGGTCCTCCCGCTGGGACACAGCTCGTAGGTGCTCCCAGGAGGGTACCGGCAGGTGGGTGCCCCCAGCCCCGGACTCACAGGACAGTTATAATCTTCGTCTGGCTGTTTCTGGAGCTCAGCCTCTTCATTTTGGCAATGCTCTCTGGTGTCTGGAACTTCTCGGTGTTGATGAAGAGCACAGGCTTGGGCACCTCTGGGTACAGCGTGTTCTCCAGGGGGAACATCCAGGCGTCGAGAGCCACTGCGCACCTACGGCAGGACGGACACCTGGCACTGCCACCCATGCCACAGCTTCCCTTCCCTCCAGGATAAGCCACGTGTCTCTGGAGCTTCCCGTGGCTCCTTGTCCCTCCTGCAGCTCACCTGAAGCCAGGCTCCTTCACCAAGGCCAGCACTGCTGTCACCCCGCCAAAGGAATGGCCCATGACGGCGACTTTGGTCAGATCAACGCTGTCCTGCAAAAAGGAGAAGGCTGAGGAGCCTGTGCCCAAACCTGGCTGCAGAAGGTCCCTAATTAGGGAAGAAAAAGCCAAGGGAAGAAGATCAGCAAAGTCCCACTGCTCTGCAAGGGACACCATGTCCCATCTTTCGGTGCAATGGGACCTGGCTTGCCTGGAATGCATGGAGGAGAAAGGAGAAGAGAGGCACCAAGAAGGCGAGCGGCGGAAGGCTGTGGCTCTGCACAGACCCTGCTTGTCCCAGGAGGAAGAGCCCCACACCGCGAGGCCTGATCCTTCCACGGAGGGCACCCACCATGGCCCGAACCTCCCCATCACCCAAATGAACACCCTGGCTGGTCCTTCAGCACTGACGGACCCAGATACCTTCAGCACAGACAGATCAAAGTCCTGGTGAAGGATGTTCGGGACAGATTTACCGCTGCTGATGTCCTCGAAGAGCCGGAGCGCTCGCACACATTCCTCTGCTCTCTGATGAACCTGGGAGCGACAGTTGCCCCTTCCCCAGTTAACCCAGCTCCTCCACCCCACAAGTCTGCGGCCAGATCCTCCCTCCGACATCCCCCCACACTCATCCCTCTAAAACCGCGGTGCTTGGATGCAACCTTTCCCTCTACTTAGAATTTATTTCTCGTTCACCCTCCACACTTACGCTCATGGGTTCATCTTTACAGGAGACCCTTTCTCTGTCTGTGCAGCGCGCTGCGGGGCAGCACATACACAAAAATAAGAGACTGGAGGTGATTTAAGGCTGCCAAAAGCTCCTCCAACCACTACGTTTTCTAGAGAGCTTTTCTACAACAAATCTCCACTTGATGTTGTCCTTTTAAACGAAGCAGAAACGAGCAGGGAGGAACCTGTCTCAGCAGGCAACCT